GGGGTAGAAGCATAACCTCCCCATCGCCCTGCCCTGAGTGACAGTGGTGGCGCCCTAACCCCCTGATCCACCCTGCTCTGTGTGTGACAGGGGGCGGTGCCCCCCTCCCCTATCAGCCCTACTCCTTTTAATGTTATTACAAATAATATAGCATTATTGTTGCAAACTAAAAAATACACATATACTCATAAGTCGATTTTATCTACTTCTTGACAAAGGAGCTGCTATGAGCTAAGAAATTAGGCCTTAACACAATACCCTTCTGGATATCCACAGATCACGTTTAATGCATTGTAATACATTAAAAAAAGAGAATTGATGGTGTGAACCCTTCTGCTGATTGAAATTTATTCAATTCAGTGGGCTCACTCAGACTGTGCATTTTTACTTTAACAAGTGAAAATTCCTGGGGTAGTAATGGGGATCCTAACATATATGGCAAAATAAACCACAAAACAAGATTATTTTATTTTAAGTTCCTCCCTCCACACCACTCCACTCCAACCATCTCAGCAAACTCTGATGTAATATGATATGTTGCTAAGTGGTCTCTTGCCACAGGTCACTTGGAGAGGACAGAGGAAGAACACTAGGGGGGGAAAACTTAAAGCTAGAGACCTGAGAAAAATGTATTAAGTAAAGGTTAAAATGGGATGCTACAGCACAGGAAAGTTTAGGTTTGAAGTGTATAATGGGCTTCCAGAAAGTTAACAGTTTACATAATTCTTCAAATAAGATTTCTGGCTTTTGACTCAGTAAATTATTAAATAATTTAATTCCAGAAGCATTAATATTTCAGAAAATAAATATGCCTGTACATAAAAGAGACAATATACCCAAAAGTCAAAACAAAGGGATCTTGTGGTTTTTATATCAGTTTCCCTTCCCCCCTCATTCACTTGTTAGAAAAGAAGGGACAGACACACATTCATTTAAGGTGACTTTCTTATTATTAAAATTGGGTAGAAGTAAAGTAGTTAAAACAAGCATAAAACTCAACACATGCCTTGTTATTAAATAAAAATACTAACATGCTGTTACATGCTCTGCTGATTATCACACTAAAGCAATTACATCAGCAGTCTACCTGTAAAAATTTCTTCTTCATTTCATCAAAGATATTTTGTCTGCATCTCCAAAACACATCCTATGATATACAGAGAACAAATGAATCACAAATTATTTCTTTAAAATACAGAAGTAAGACAGTGAAATGAGAACAATTAACCTAAAGACATTTTTTTGCAAACAAAATACATATTAAAAATATCACATCATCTAGAATTTTATTCAGAAATTATATTTGTAATTTTTATCTTAGGCCTCAATTTTTTAAAAAATATACTTTTATTGATTTCAGAGAGGAATGGAGAGGGAAAGAGAGGAATATCAATGATGAGAGAGAATCATTGATTGGCTGCCTCCTGCACACCCCCTACTGGGGATCGAGCCCAGAACCCAGGCATGTGCCCTGAACCAGAATCGAACCCAGGCCCTTCAATCCACAGGCCGACACTCTATCCACTGAGCCAAACCAGCTAGGGCTCAATTACTCTTATAAGGTTACTGAAAATCTGTGCTATCACTGTAAAGGATAACATGGAAAACAACCACATTTCAACAAAGAGCAGTAGCTTAAAAATTGTGAATAAATAAAATGTTCTGTCACATAATATTTTCCCCAGTTTTATTGAGATACTAGTGGCCCAGTGAATGAAATTCGTGTACAGGGGGGTTCCCTCAGCCCACCCTTTGAGGGATGTCCGATTGTCAGTTTAGGCCCATAAGGATTGGGCCTAAACTGACAATCGGACATCCCTCTCGCAATCTGGGACCACTGGCTCCTAACCGCTCACCTGCCTGCCTGCCTGATCGCCCCTAACTGCCCTCCCCTGCTGGCCTGATCGCCCCTAACTGCCTCTACCTGCCTGATCACCCTTAACTGCCCTCCCCTGATGGCCTGATCTCACCCCCAGCTGCCCTCCCTGCCGGCCTGGTTGCCCCCAACTGCGCTCCCCTGCCGACCTGATCTCACCCCCAACTGCCCTCCCCTGTTGGCCTGATTGCCCCTAAACCCCTGCCAGCCTGATCTCACCCCCAACTGCCCTCCCCTGCCAGCCTGATCGCCCCTGCCTTTGCCTCAGCCCCCACCACCATGGCTTTGTCCGGAAGAAAGTAGGACGTCCGGAAGATGGCCGGTCAACCCGGTCTAATTAGCATATTATCCTTTTATTAGTATAGATAAGTTATATAGGATAGGATTGCTTAAATGGGGTGGGGAGAAGCCTTTTTCAGCAGGAGGAGATGCTCGTGGCAGACAAAAATACATAATCCCTATATCTGGACTGATAGCCAGCCATATGCACTATACTGCCAAACAGGTCATTTAAAAATTGAAACGCTTTCTTACACCTTACACCAAACAGCTGCTGCCCTTAAAACCCCTCCTCAGCCCCCACCTTAGGTTCTGCCTTTGCAGTTCACCCAGATTAGGTTCTGATTTGTCGGTTTCTATGCCAGTCAGCGTCAAAAGCTCCACCTCCTAAGCAGCCATTGACTCCTTGTAGTTCACCCAGATTAGGCTCTGATTGGTCAGTTTCTATGCCAGTCAGCGTCAAAAGCTCCACCTCCTAGGCCAGTGATGGCGAACCTATGACACGCGTGTCAGAGGTGACACGCGAACTCATTTTTTTGGTTGATTTTTCTTTGTTAAATGGCATTTAAATATATAAAATAAATATCAAATACATAAGTCTTTGTTTTACTATGGTTGTAAATATTAAAAAATTTCTATATGTGACACGGCACCAGAGTTAAGTTAGGGTTTTTCAAAATGCTGACACGCCGAGCTCAAAAGGTTCACCATCACTGTCCTAGGCAGCCATTGGCTCCTCGCAATTCACCCAGATTTGGTTCTGATTGGTCGGTTTCTATGCCAGTCAGCATCTCTGCGCCTATCTCTGGGCCTGATCAGAGAGGCGAGGCTGATCAGCAGCTCCCGCGGCTGGCGAGGCCCGGAGAGAAAGAGAGAGGCAAGGGCTGATCAAAAGCTGCCATGAAGGCTGTGGATCAGACCCTGCTTCTCTCTCCAGGCCTCTCTCCAGGCCTGATCCACAGGTCTGACTTCCAGTATTCGGTCATCCATTTGGTCCTTTTGGATGTTATAGACCCTGGCTCTTTATATATATAGATAATTGACATACAACATTGTATTATTATTATCACAATAATTTTAGCTAATATCCATCATCTCATCTCACATAGTGATGAGAACCTGGCCACTATGCTGTGTGGGAGCCAGGTAGCCACATGGAAAGGTCATGTGTAGATGTTCCAGCCACAGTCCAAATGAGATCACAGCTGGCAAATAGCATCAGCCACCATACATGTGCGTGAGAAAGCGTTTAGATCAAGCATGTCAAACTCAAAGGCTAACATGGGCCAAATAAACAAGGTTTAAGTTTATGTGGGCTGCAAAAAAACAAAAGCCTCAATGTTCATAGAAATGTAGCTTTATTTAGATAGAGATATGCTGAATACAAAGGCTGAAATAAATGAGTAATTGTTAACATAAAAGAATAAAACATTTTAATAAAAATTAACATTTTTTCTTGAACATTAACTGAATAACTGCACGAAATAATAAGCGTAATGCAAATAAACCTATCTTTCTTGTTCTCCAATATATTTCCTGTTGCGCACACCAAACAAGTCAGTACACGACTAATGATCTGGCAATCAGCTGCTAAAATATTTGGTGCTAGTATTAGTGGAGAGAAATGGTGCACCTTCGCAGAAGGCGCAGAAGGGAAATGAATGCAACACGATTATAGTAATCAGTCATTAGCGAACGTCGTAGTTTATTAATAATTATGTATAAAGGATAATGTAAAAATTAAGTTACAAATTTTTATTAAAACATTTCTTACATACCATTATATTGGCTGGGCTGCAAAAATATTCGTTGTGGCCCTAACCGATTTGGCTCAGTGGATAGAGCGTCGGCCTGTGGACTCATTGGTCCCAGGTTCGATTCTGGTCAAGGGCATGTGCCTTGGCTGCAGGCATATCCCCAGTAGGGGGCGTGCAGGAGGCAGCTGATCGATGTTTCTCGCTCATTGATGTTTCTAACTCTCTATCCCTCTCCCTTCCTCTCTGTAAAAAAATCAATAAAATATATTAAAAAATAAATAAATAAACTGCTCTTTAAAAAAAAATATTCCTTGTGGGCCACATGTGGACCACGGGCCGTGAGTTTGACATGCTTGATTTAGATGATTCCAGCCCCAGCCCTTCAGCTGCCCCAGCTGACACCTAGCAGAGCAGAAACAAGCTCCCCTAGTCCCGCTTTGCTTAAATTAACATCTGTGAACAAAATTCACTAAGTTCGGGGGCAAACTGTTATATAACACAAGATAATCAGAATAATAGTCAATTTCTCAATCTAGTCTTCTCACCATCCTATATAAAATTACAATCCTCTTGGTGCACTGGTTGGGTGACTCAGTTGGAGCGTCCCCCACTCCAAAAAGGTTGCAGGATGGATTCCTGATCAGGGCACAAACTTAGATTGCGGGTTCAATCCCCATTAAGGACATGTACAAGGGCCAACTGATCGAGGTTTCTCTCTCACATCAATGTTTCTCTTTCTCTCTCTCTTACCCCTCACCCTTTCTCGCTAAAATCAATAAACATCCTAGGGTGAGGATAAAACAACAACAATCCTCTTGGTAATCTTCATTTCCCTCCCTTGCTTCAGGTTTCTACACAGTACTTATAACGACCTGAAATATTTGTTTGCATTTTACTTATTTATTGTCTATCTCCAAAAAAACTTGCATCGTGAACCAAGATGAAGTATCAGACTACTAGACTTACCCTCCCCACCTTAAACAACTAAAAATCTAGATAAAATATATAAAGAAATAGTTTTCAAATATTCAACAACAGCCAACACAAGACAGTGATCCCTGTGAAAAGCACCTTCCAGGCTGCAGTGCTGGGAGGGAGAAGCCAGGTAGAGTCCAATGCAGCAAACTCCCTGAGTTGAAGAGATGAGGTGGGGAGTTCGAGGAGGCCAATTCAGCTAGAATTTATAGGGCAGAATACTAGAGAGAAGAAAGCTGCACGAACAGCGAACTTCAGAGATCTTTTCTGAATATTCAGCTGAGTACTCAACAGCATATGCATGTAAAGAAACTATATGAGGCAAGGGAAGAACCACAGGAAAGAATCCCTGGAACTCACTTCAGTTTCCACCAGCCAGAGTGGGGAGGTTTGGGGGGCAAAGAATCTCATTAATACACAGGGCATCAGAAAACCTTATAACACAAAATTAGTAGCCTTTAAAAAAGTCTGTATAGGGCCCTGGCTGATGTGGCTCAGCGGTAAAGCATTGGCCCGAGCACTGAAGGGTCATGAGTTTAATCAAGGGCATGGTCAAAGGCAGGTATCTGGGTTGTAGATTTGGCTCCAGTCAGAGCACTTGCGTGCTCTTGAGGGAGACAACCAATTGATGCTTTCCTCTCTCTGGCTTCCCTCCCTTCCATTCTCTTTAAAAGAAAAATCAATGGAAAAATATCCTCAGATTGGGGGGGGGGGGGATCTATTGGGAAAGAGAAGGACACATGTACAGAATAAAAGAATTGCATCAAAATGTTTACAGTATTGTCTTTCAAGGATAGAATTAGAAGTAATTTTTTTCCCTCTTTATGTTTTTCTGGGACTTCCAAATGTTTGGCACTGCACATGTATTTGTTTTTACAATTTAAATGTAAATCACAAAAAAAGAAACTTGTAAATTTAGTTAACATATATAAAGTAAAAAATTTTAAGTGTTAGTCCACTCTTACCCTATCAAGAGAAACAAAACAACTAAGTGCACAGTAAGAAAATGAAAGTAATTTGATCTGGGGAAAGTTCAAGAACTACACTCTTAGTGTGTACAGCACGCAGAATGATGTGTCTATAGAAAACAATAGAAACTAGTATAATCAAGATCAGGTAACATTAGCGGATATATAGATTTTAGGCAATTTGAGGTTACTACATAAAAATATAACTAAAGAAACAAAGGATACCTAAAATAAGGAAGGCAATAAACTTCAACTTCTAGGATTCCTTTGCTTCAGGTAATATAAACTTGGA